TCCCTTTCTTCCTTAACATTTAAAAGTTCCTCAAAATATTCTCGCCATCTACCTAATACCTCCCTGTCCCCATCTACTAACTCCCCTACTCTGTTTTTAACTGACAAATCCATATTTTCCCCTAGGCCTTCTTAACTTGTTTAACTCACTCCAAAATTTTTTCTTATTTTCATTAAAATTTCTTGACAGTGCCTCTCCCACTCTTTCATCTGCTCTCCTTTTGCACTCTCTCACCACTCTCTTCACCTTTCTTTTACTCTCCATATACTCTGCTCTTCTTATAACACTTCTGCTTTGTAAAAACCTCTCGTAAGCTACCTTTTTCTCTTATATCACACCCTTTACTTCATCATTCCACCAATCACTCCTCTTTCCTCCTGCCCCCACCCTCCTATAACCACAAACTTCTGCCCCACATTCTAATACTGCATTTTTAAAACTATTCCAACCCTCTTCAACCCCCCCACTACTCATCTTTGCACTAGCCCACCTTTTTGCCAATAGTCGCTTATATCTCGCCCGAACTTCCTCTCCCTTAGTTTATTACACTTTCACCTCCCTCTTACTTGTTGTTGCCACCTTCCTCTTTTCCCATCTACCTCTTACTCTAACTGTAGCTACAATTAAATAATGATCCGATATATCAGTTGCCCCTCTATAAACATGTACATCCTGGAGCCTACCCATCAACCTTTTATCCACCAATACATAATCTAACAAACTACTTTCATTACGTGCTACATCATACCTTGTATATTTATTTATCCTCTTTTTCATAAAATATGTATTACTTATTACCAAATTTCTTTCTACACATAGCTCAATTAAAGGCTCCCCATTTACATTTACCCCTGGCACCCCAAATTTACCTACTACTCCCTCCATAACATTTTTACCCACTTTAGCATTGAAATCCCCAACCACCATTACTCTCACACTTGGTTCAAAACTCCCCACGCATTCACTCAACATTTCCCAGAATCTCTCTCTCTCCTCTACACTTCTATATATATATATATATATATATATATATATATATATATATATATATATATATATATATATATATATATATATATATGGTATATATATATATGGTAAACAAGTTTACAAGAACACTGATGGCACAAGGAGATTATTAGCATATGTTACAAAAAACGCGATTCTAAAAGCTTAGAGATCTCCAGTGAATACTAGAAAGGACTGCCCTTCTAGCATCCAGCCTGTTACTGGGTTTTCGTAACAAGTAGTCAGTATCCTTGTCCAATTATCCATTAAAATTCAGTATTGTTTAATAGCGCTTTAGGATTACAACTGGTAGGCTACTAACTAGAGAAATTAAAATTTAATAAATTTATTAAGTAGTAAGTTGTCTAGAGGTATATTATCAAATTAAATTAATTACAGCAATCAAAATAAAATCAATCTCTCGAGTTCAATATTATTGTGCTGAAAGCACATATCACATTTATAATTCTTAAGTACCGTCAGGTACATTAACATTTAATAAGATATTACAAATATGTACAAGTGTGTGTATGCGTGTAAGTGCTCTTAAGTAGTTAGCTATGTCTCAAGACTCGAATAAGACTTAAACAAGTGACTGACAAAGTCCTCAAATAAACTAACTTCTTGACCGACTGGCAACCCGAACAGTCTGCTTGAACAACAAAGAATGCTAAGCCCAATAGCAATGCAATATCAAGCGACAGTGACACAGAATCAGGAACTGGGAAATAATATAACGACACTAAGTAGGGACCATCTGCAGATCCTCCACAAAAGTTACAACACTCCCATAATACTGAATCTTTGTTCAGCATAGGAAAAACACGACTGTGACAATACACAGAAACCAGTACAAAATTAGGTCAGAAGCTATAGCTAAGGACCTGAGATGTTCAGAGTGTCTATGTGACACACAACCTCAGTACAACGTCGAAAATCACTAAGTCTTTACAATGTTCTGTGAACAAAGTTCTACAGAACTAACAAGAATAATGAGACAGACAATCTGTCCAACCAGCAAGCGAGTCTCGAGCAGACTGTCAGACAGACAAGCTGTCCAACCAGCAAGCGAGTCTCCAGCAGACTGTCAGACAGACAAGCTGTCCAACCAGCAAGCGAGTCTCCAGCAGACTGAATACTTTTCGAGAGGTGAGGACACCCCCCCCCTCGATCACGTGATAGCTACGTGGACAACTGCAGCTCAGAAGCCGGCAGTATAACGAGCGACAAGCGATAATTACAGTAGTTTGACAATCAAGACTAACTGAGCACATTTTATATACATCCTAACAACATAAGCTAAATAACAATATAACAGTCAAATAATAATATAAAGTCATACATTTACGATTTAGCTATTATCGCAAATATAAGCAATATAAAATTATATGAAAAGATAATATACATTACATATATACATAATAATCATTGTAACCCATTCAGGGGTTGCAACAGCATAACATACAGAGCACAAAATACTAGAAGATTGAGAGATGCATAATACACAGTCGAATTTGTCAATACATAAATATTAAAAAGTTCATCCACTTCTTCAGCGCTAGGACGTGTACCTAGAATACAACAGGCATTGCGCCTCTGAATGGCAGCATCGAGATGCTGGAACACAAGACTAGGCGTTTTGGGATTCTTAGTTGTATTCCTGAATATTTATTCTAATTAATTTAAAAATGTGGACGAGCTCTTTCCCCATGAGCGGAGAGCCTTCGAACCTATGGGAGCAAACATGTAATGATGAGTAAGTTCCCTGTGTTTTCTAGATTTTTTGGACTCCCTGAAGCTGGCAGATGCATTTTTGCTTCTGCCAGCTTCGGGAAAAATGCATCTGAAGCAGGCACATGCATTTTTGCATCAGCCAGTGTGGATGTGTATGCGTAATCCAGTTTTCCCTGCTTGCCATCTGTCCAAGTTGGCAAGGTAATTGTATCTGGGGACTTTTGGCAGTCATCAGATCCTCATAGTGGGAGCTGCTCCTGCATTGCTGGGCATCCGGTTGTTGCAAGGCTTCTCTTGATGATGATGATGACTTCTTCATGCCTTGTGATCTTTCCCTCAGGCCTATTGCAAACGAGACCATGCTACACGAATCATTTTACTGATGAGCTGCTGCAAATACACCTGTGTACCTGTGTTGGGCGATAATATGGGCGACAAGGTGAAGTACATCACCAATACAAAGAGCCTGAGGGTCCAGTGGTGTACTTAGAGAGAAGCTATGGATGGCTAAGAGAAAAGCTCCTGGGTGGAACTCTCACTGCCGGGATTCACTGTCGACACTCAAGCGTAGTTGAGACTATTTTCTCTATCAGACTCGAGCACTGACTAACTCTTGGTCTAGTTGAGGAACCTGATAGAGCATTTCAGAGCCTGACTCCAACAATGAGCATTGAGTCGTGAACCCCAACATTGCCTCTTCATGTAGCTTTCTCTGGACGCCACACATGAAGACACTAATGCAGTAAGAATTATTTGTGATGTCTTGCAGACACAAATGCGTTGTAGTCTGGCAGTGTAGTTTGGTTCCACTGCCCATCTAGAGTAAACTAGAGCACTCTTGTTAATATTGATCTCAGGAAACTGTTTAACTCCTTTAGTTTTGGGTTGTCATATGAAAGTTCATATCTTAGGATATATGTCAGCCTGGGCATTCTCATGCAATTTGTTTAAAGGAACGAGGCATCATTGGCATTAGCCCTAGAGAGGCTCCAATTAGGATGTTCCCAGCAGGGGCAATGGTTAACGCACCTGGAAGTGAAAAATTCACTGTGTAATCACTGATTAAGATCTGTTGGATGTGACTCCTTTGTGAGTGCCAGTGTGCCTTCATCCACGAACTGGATGTTTAGTTCACTGCTTAAACTGATAGTGAGTTCTCGAACTGCTATGTAGAAGAGAAATGGAACAAGAAAGAGAGAAAGAAAGTGAGAAAGGATATCACTTCAAACGGATGTTAATATCACGTCTCTTTTCGGATTAAATGTGTTCTTGAAGTCATGTTTGAAAACATTGTCTTTAGGTAAGTTATTTATATACGCCCTCGCCACATGAATTGCTGTTTCGCTGCCTTGGGAGATCAGAAAGTCAAGCTGGTTTAGTTGTACTGAAGCAGCATGACGGCCTATGTCTTAATACATCTGACAGTTTAGCAACGAGGCGTTGAAGAGAGTTACCCACGACACTGGGTCTAATTCCTTCAGCTTTCTTTTTCAGCGCACAAAGTAATGCACTGAAAAGAATAGTTCAGTTTCACCACGAATGTAAATATATATGACGAATAGGTAACTTAAATAGTAACGCTCTTCTTGCCGAATAAGGCAAGCGAAATTTTGTGAATGTAATAATTTCGCAAAAATCATTCTGAACTTGTTTGTTTATTATTATATTATTGTAAACTTATCTAAAATATATTTAGTTGGATTAGGCTAAATTAAACTACGCTTGTTTTAATATGATAAGGTAAGTTTTCTAAGGTTCATTTGGTACAAATTTAATAATATTTACATTAACATAAATGAAAAAAAAAAACATATCTTTAAACGTATAACAGAAAATTTTAGAACGCACTTAATTTTAAATGAGTTCTTGCTAACTGACCAGTTTATATATATATATATATATATATATATATATATATATATATATATATATATATATATATAATACTCTTAACATAAATATTTATATATTTATGTTAAGAGTATTAGGTTTGGTGCTCTACTTAACCAAAAATATAGGGAAATTGAATTTGTTATGCAATAGAGAAGTGAAGGAGACACTTGTGTGATAGCCCGCTTATGTCTGCTGATGAAGTCCCTTCGTTATGTACACACACTGTAAGCCATCATTACGTACACATAATATGGTTATGCTTATGTACACACCCACAGTGTGGCCATCACTAACAGGGTTCCACACCCTGTGACACCTCCATCACCACAGTCGCCAAGGCAATCACACACACACAACCAGAACGTCTGGTCAGTATTGCCAGTATGAGATGTGATCAGTGATAGCACGAGGTGTGTGAAAGTCTACCTCAGCTCTTTTTATCGTCATCAATCATCATCGGGAAACACTAAAACCGTATGCTCACACAGCGTTAGGTTAGGTTTAGGTAAGGTTTGTCAGGAAACAGGACGAGTACTTCCTGACACGGGTCCTTGTCTTATGATGACCCTCAGCTGGAGCTTTTGGTCATCTGACCGAGGCCTTCCGCTAGTTTAACCTGCAGAAGGAAATTGCAGCTCCTGTTCCTTGGATCTACAACCCTTCACTAGTCGCGAGCCAACTTCTCTGAAGGGACTCCATTCAACTCCAGGACAACGGAGAAATTTAATTAAGGGAAAGGACTCTTGATTCAAGGAACTGGGGCGGCTCTTCCCTTAACTCTGATTGCTCCTAGATTCTCTAGGGACAGGGGTGTGACCCTTACGAGTTTGGCGTTTCCTCGTGAATGTAATAACGTTAGGTTGAGATGACAGTTCCATAGAGGTACGAGTTGTTTCAGTGTAGAGACTTGGAGAACTCTGTGTGTATATGTCATAGAGGTATATATCTCAGTGTATATACTCGAAAAGCTCTGTTTCTGAATGTGTACACAGAGAGGTGCGTCTTTCAACGTATACACCCATAGATATAGACGGGTTGGACATAATAATATAAATACCTTGTTCTAAAACATTTTTTATTTTCAATATGGAGTTGGTCCTCCATTTGCAGCTAAAACAGTACCAACTCGTCAAGGAATTAATTCATATAGCATTTTAATCTAGGGAAATTTGTATATCTCAGTGAATACTCATCGAATATACAGTGTGTATATATACAGTGTATATTCTCTTTCGAGTTTATCTCTATTTACCCAGAGATTTGCATATCTGTGAGAATATACAATGAGAGTCAAATTTGCATTATATATTAATGGTTACTAACGAGGATGACTGTGTCCTTAATGATAATAGCGGTTCTAGCCTAGCCAAACCTAATATAACCTAACCTAATCTAATCTGACATAATTTAACTTGACCTATCCCAACCCAAGCTGATCTAACCTCACCTAACTTGACCAAAACAATCCTGACATGACTTATCCTGACTTGACCTGAACTGACCTAAACTGCTCTAAACATATACATTAATGGTTCCTACCGCACACTGTAGCGGAGGTTCCAGCGGTGATCGACACAGGTTTTTACAACGGTGTCATCTGTGTGCTAGTGTGTGGAAGATCTGGTACAGTTGTGAGCCGTTGTGAGGAACACCCACTTCAGTGGAAACCTGTGTACTAGTGTGGGAAACACGCACTACAGTGGTGGCGCCTATGCACTAGTGAGACACTACAGTCACTACTTTTGTGTACAGATGGAACACTATAGTTGCTGTACCTGTGGACGGTCATATGTAGTACTTCATTTATTTCACCTGTGTACTGGTGTATGCAGCATTTCAGTTGCTGACCCTGTGCACTGTTGCAACAATACAATTGCTGAATCTGCGTACTGTTGCTGCACCTGTGTACTGGTGTAACACTACAGTTACAGCACCTGTGTACTGGTGTAACACTAGTTACGGCACCTGTGTACTGGTGTAACACTACAGTTACAGCACCTGTGTACTGGTGTAACACTACAGTTACAGCACCTGTGTACTGGTGTAACACTACAGTTACAGCACCTGTGTACTGGTGTAACACTAGTTACGGCACCTGTGTACTGGTGTAACACTACAGTTACAGCACCTGTGTACTGGTGTAACACTACAGTTACGGCACCTGTGTACTGGTGTAACACTACAGTTACAGCACCTGTGTACTGGTGTAACACTACAGTTACGGCACCTGTGTACTGGTGTAACACTACAGTTACAGCACCTGTGTACTGCTGTAACACTACAGTTACAGCACCTGTGTACTGGTGTAACACTACAGTTACAGCACCTGTGTACTTCTCATGTTTAGTGACTTTATGTCTCATGTCAACTCACCTTCATAAAGAATCATAGACTTTCAGACTTTCTTTTTAAGTAGTTAACCATTTACCTTAGTGAAAACTTCGTAAGAGGTCTCATAAACCTTAATAGTTAACTACTTAACACACACGAGAAACAAATCGTTGCTATAATAGCAAAGTGATAGATACAGTAATTCAGAAGGCCATGTGATAGAAGGAATTTATCTCACAGTGATAGTCTTTTGGGTTTTTATTTTTAAGTGAAATATCTGCATATCTCTCAGGCTACGAATATCTGGTGGTAATGATGGCATGGGTGTATGTGTCGTGGTTGTTGATAATGGAAGCGATGGCCGCTCACGCCAGCACATCCACGAATTTCGAAGAAATAAAATATCCAGTAAGTAGACCAGAGTTAAGGGATACGTCTTTATGTGCTGGCACAAAATAATGATACTGAATATATGTAATTTATTAGTATATGAGCAGGAAATGTTCACGGATATATCGGTGCTCCAACAGGATTCCCGATTGAGAGAAGACCTGCAGCAGCTGAGTGATGGACTGACTGAGGACAACCAATATTACTCTAGTCTCGTGCACTCTCGTTCACTCTATGATCAACAACTATCAATGTATGATCCTTTGTCTCTTCAAATTATGTTTGAAAGGATTTTGGAATTCAAGCTAATTAATACTGAAGTACAAATATGCCCGTGTTTTCCTAAAACGTAGCTTAGATACAGTTTTGTTATGGTGAGGTGCATCATGCATGATACTAGATGGGTCATGCATGGTACTAGATGGGTCATGCATGGTACTAGATGGGTCATGCATGGTACTAGATGGGTCATTGATGTCGAACACATTATACAAGAAGACTTACTCGTAAGGGGTTCTTTGATGCTGTTGAAAGGCTTTCCGGACCAAATCTGCCTCCATGAATATGATGACACTATTCACTAAGATGTTTATGGATATTTCAGAGCGGCCGACTGTGCTGACCACCTGATGGGCGGGGCCATCACCAGCGGTGTATATTACATCTACCCCTTCACGTGAGTACTTTCACTCAAGGGGAAACTCACTGAGTACCACCACTCTGACTAGCCCCTGTTACGTCAGTTCCACGGTGAATACTTTCACTTTAGTAATTATTATTTTTGGCTACCCTAAGGTACCTTAGGTGAAAAAACTGATTTCTTAGACTCTAATTCCCGTTTAACACTCTTGTCTTGTGAATCCTGTTGACCCTTCTACTGGTGGCTTTCAGCACCCCAAGTGCACCAAGTAGTTGTGGTACTGGTAGGTACCTATGTCTCACAACCACACGCACAGTAGGTAGTAATGATAGTTACCTGTGTGTCACCACCATAGGTGTAGCTGCAGAAAGCCGGTGCCGGTGTGGTGTGACATGGAAACTGACGGAGGCGGGTGGACGGTGTTCTTGACGCGGCAGACACAAGACTCTCAAGTAGACTTCAACCGATGGTGGCAGGAATACAAGAGCGGTTTCGGCGACCCTCACGGAGAATACTGGCTTGGTGGGTTTGTACACTTCTTCTGCAATTTTAATGCAAAGGACAGTTTTATTGTATTTCATGAAGCGTTAACAAGGTAGAGGCAAAACACCTCGTTGTTAATGATAAGATATCTAAAATCTTGAGACTGTATCCACATCTTCAGTCGACTAGATGAACGAACTGTCTTATAGAAATTACAACCCAGTTATGACTATTTTTTTAATTTACAATAAGAAATAATTATTTTTTGAGATTGCATTCCTTACTGTACTGTGTACAACAACAATATGAATTGTAATATTGTAATATTTCTGTCTAGTGATATAGCAATGGTCACTGGGGGCCTTACAAAGACTCACTGTGACGGTTCAGAGGATGAGCTGCCGGTGAACGAACTAGCCAGTAAGGCGAAACAACTAATTAGAGTCTTCGCTAATAGCAGCTATTAGTGATCAAATAATTATATAATGCAGACGTTGATGAGTAATGCATGTTTTCACTTGACTTTTTTTATTTTTTAAATCATAGCAACTTTGTCTATGTAAATAAAAAAATGCCTTTTTTCTTATGGAAGGAAACGAACATCTTCACCAAATGACGTCTTCACGAAGTTACTCAGTAAGAGTTGACTTTACCAGTGATGCTGGAGTTAGTTATTATCTCTACAGGACCTTCATTAAGGTGGCTAGCGAGGCTGAGAGGTGAGTGTGTGTGTGTGTGTGTATGTGTACTCACCTAATTGTACTCACCTAATTGTACTCGCCTAATTGTGGTTGCAGAGGTCAGACTCAGCTCCTGGCCCCACCTCTTTACTGACCGCTACTGGGTCCTCCCTCTTCCTGGTCCATGAGCTTTATCATACCTTGTCTTAAAACTATGTATGGTTCCTGCCTCCACTACATCGCAAGCCAGACTATTTCACTTCCTAACAACTCTGTGGCTGAAGATATACTTAATAACATCCCTTTGACTCATCTGAGTCTTCAGCTTCCACTTGTTACCCCTTGTTTCTGTGTCCCATCTCTGGAACATCCTGACTCTGTCCACTTTTTCTATTCCACGCAGTATTTTGTATATCGTTATCATGTCTTCCCTGACCCTCCAGTCCTCCAGTGTCGTCAGACCGATTCCCCTTAGCTCTGGAACTAGCCTTGTTGCAAACCTTTGCACTTTCTCTAATTTCTTGACGTGTTTGACCAGGTGTGGGTTGCAAACTGGTGCTGCGTACTCCAGTATGGGCCTGACGTACACAATGTATAAAGTCTTGAACGATTCCTTACTGAGGTACCGGAACGCTATTCTCAGGTTTGCCAGGCGCCCATATGCCGCAGCAGTTATCTGGTTTATGTGTGCTTCTGGCGACGTACTCGATATTATACTCACTCCTAGATCCTTCTCCTTGAGTGAGGTTTGCAGTCTTTGGCCTCTTAGCCTATACTCTGTCTGCAGTCTTCCTTGCCCTTCTCCGATCTTCATGACTTTGCATTTGGCGGGGTTAAATTCTATGAGCCAATTGCTGGACCACGCGTCCAGCCTGTCCAGGTCTCTTTGTAGACCTGTCTGATCCGCATCTGATTTAATTCTCCTCATTAATGTGACGAATGGTTTTGAAAACCGACAAGTTGAAGATTGAGACACTTATGCAACATATGGGAATCTTTATTGAGGAAACGTTTCGCCACACAGTGCCTTCATCAGTCCAACCTTTGGACGAAGACCTACTTCGACTAGTGGATGGTACTACTATGACCCCGCTTCCTCCTGCTTCGCCTCACCTGACTACAGTATATAAGCCACGTCTACGTCCTTATGCCGTACATTCAACAAGATTTATGGACTGAACACATCGACTCCAGGCTGAGGGACTGATTACCTCAAACTCCTCCTCTCCTTACACCTTTCTACTTTGTATTGGACTGATGAAGGCACTGTGTGGCGAAACGTTTCTTCAATTAAGATTCCCATATGTTGCGTAAGTGTATCAGCCTTCTCCTCATTAACTTCACATCATCTGCGAACAGAGACAATTCTGAGTTTATCCCTTCCATCATGTCGTTCACACATACCAAGAACAGCACTGGTCCCAGGACTGACCCCTGTGGGACCCCGCTCGCCACAGGCGCCCACTGTGATACTTGATCACGGACCATGACCCTCTGTTGCCTCCCTGTTAGGCATTCTCTGATCCATTGCAGTGCCCTTCCTGTTATATGTGTGCCTGATCCTCTAGCTTCTGTACTAATCTCTTTTGAGGAACTGTGTCGAAGGCCTTCTTGCAGTCCAAGAAAATGCAATCAGCCCACCCCTCCCTCTGATTTCTTACTTCAGTTACCTTGTCATAAAACTCTAGTAGGTTTGTGACACAGGATTTGCCTTCCATGAATCCGTGCTGGCTGTCGTTTATAATCTTACTCCGCTCCAGGTGCTCCACCACTCTCCTCCTGATGTTCTCCATGAATTTGCATACTGTACACGTCAGTGACAGTGGTCTATAGCTTTCTTAAAGATGGGGACTACATGTGCCGTCTTCCATACTTCAGGTAGTTGCCCAGTTTTAATGGAAGTGTTGTAGATTTTGGTCAGTGGCATATACAGTATCTCTGCTCCTTCTCTAAGGACCCATGGAGAGATGCTGTCAGGTCCCACCGCCTTTGAGGTATCAAGGTCACTTAGGAGCTTCTTCACCTCCTCCTCAGTTGTGTGTATTTCATCCAACACTTGATGGTATATCCCTTGTTGGTGTACCCCACTGTTTTGTCTTCCAAGTGTCCCTTCAGCGTCCACTGTAAATATTTCCTGAAATCTCATGTTGAGCTCCTCATATACTTCTTGGTCATTTCTTGTGAGCTTCCCACCTTTCCTCAGCCTGATTACCTGGTCCTTGACTGTTGTCTTCCTCCTGATGTGGCTGTAAAGCAGTTTCGGGTCACACTTGAGTTTCGATGCTATGTTGTTTTCGTACTGCCGCTGAGCCTCCCTCCTTATCTGTGCATACTCGTTTCAGGCTCGTCAACTAATCTCTCTATTTTCCTGAGTCCTTTGCCTTCTGTACTTTTTCCATTCTCTAGAGCACTTAGTTTTTGTCTCCCTACACCTTCGGGTAAACAAGGGCTTGTTCTGTTCTTTCCATTATTTCTGTTACCCTTGGGAACAAACCTTTTCTTTCCCTCCTTGCATTTTGTTGTTACGTAGTCCATTTTGTTTACTGACTTTCCTACCAACTCTCGGTCCCACTGAACCTCCTGCAGGAAGGTCCTCATACCCGTGTAGTCCCCTCTTTATAATTTGGCTTTTCTCTTTCTACTCCTGTTATCCTGTTCACTTGTAGCTCTACGATGTATTCAAAGCTCAGAACCACGTGGTCACTAGCTCCAAGGGGCCTTTCACATGTGATGTCCTCAATGTCTGAGCTACTCAGGGTGAACACAAGATCCAGTCTTGCTGGTTCATCCTCCCCTCTCTCTCTGGTAGTGTCCCTAACATGATGCATGAGGTTTGCCAGTACCGCATCCATCATCTTGGCTCTCCATATTCCGGGACCCCCATGTGTGTGAGTGTATATGTGTGTGTGTGTGCATACTCACCTACTTGTATTCAGCTACTTGCGGTTCCAGGGGTCGAGTCACAGATCTTGGCCCCGCCTTTTCACTGGTCGCTAGTAGGTCACTCTTCTTGCTCCATGAGCTTTATCATTCCTCTTCTTAAAGCTATGTATGAATCCTGCCTCCACTACATCACTTCCCAGACTATTCCACTTCCTGACAACTCTGTGGCTGAAGAAATACTTTCTAACATCCCTGTGATTCATTTGAGTCTTCAGCTACCAACTGTGACCCCTTGTTGCTGTGTCCCATCTCTGGAACATCCTGTCTCTGTCCACCTTGTCGATTCCTCTCAGAATTTTATGTCATTTATCATATCCCCCCTATCTCTCCTGTCCTCCAGTGTCGTCAGGTCGATTTCCGTTAACCTATTCTCGTTGGACATGCCCCTTAGCTCCGGTTCTAGTCTTGCTGCAAACCTCTGCACTTTCTCTAATTTCCCTACATGCATGCATTCCAAACTGGTGCTGTGTACTCCCATATAAGCCAGACATTCAAGGTGTACAGAGTCCTGAACGATTCAAGATGTCGAATGCTATTTTTAGGTTTATTAGGTACCCATATGCTGCAGCAGTTATTTGGTTGATATGTGCCTCAGGAGATGTGTCCGGTGTTATACTCACCCCAAGATCCTTTTCCTTGAGTACTTTTTGTAGTCTCCGGCCCCCTAGTTTATACTCTGTCTACGGTCTTCTTTGTCCTTCCTCAATCTTCATAACTTTGCATTTGGTGGGGTTGAGCTCCAGGAGCCAGTCTCCGGACCAGACCTGTAGCCTGTACAGATCCCTTTGTAGCTCCGCCTGGTCCTCGTCCAATTGAATTCCTCATTATCTGCAAACAGGGACACTTCTGAGTCGACTCCTTCCATCATGTCGTTCACATACACCAGAAATAGCACCGGTCCTGGGACTGACCCCTGTGAAACCCTGCTCATCAAAGGCGCCCACTCTTGTGTGGAACTGTGTCAAAAGCCTTCTCACAATCCAAGAAAACGCAATCTACCCACCCCTCTCTCTTGTCTTACTGCTGTCACCCTGTTATAGAACTCCAATAGGTTTGTGACACAGGATTTCCCGTCCCTGAAACCGTGCTGGCTGTTTCTGATGAGCTCATTGCTCTCTAGGTGCTCCACCACTCTTCTCCTGATAATCTTCTCCATGACTTTGCATATATGTCAGTGACACTGATCTGTAGTTTAAAGCTTCGTGTCTGTCTCCTGTTTTAAAAATTGGAACTGCATTTGATGTCTTCTGTACCTCAGGTAGTTGCCCTGTTTCGATAAATGTGTTGAAGATTGATGTTAGTTGTACACATAGTGCCTCTGCTCCCTCTCTCAGGACCCATTTAGAGATGTTATCCGACCCCATCGCTTTTGAGGTATCTAGTTCACTTAGCAGCCTCTTCACTTCTTCCTTGGTTGCATGTATTGTGTCCAACAGTTGATGGCGTACCCCACCTCTCTGTCTTTCTGGAGTCCCTTCTGTCTCTTCTGTGAACACTTCTTTGAATCTCATGTTGAGCTCCTCACATACTTTACGGTTATTTCTTGTGATCTCTCCTCCTTCCTTCTTCAGCGTGATTACCTGGTCCTTGACTGTTGTTTTCCTCCTGATGTGACTGTACAACAGCTTGGGTCAGATTTGGCTTTCGTTACTATGTCATTTTCGTATTGTCGTTGGGCTTCCCTTCTTACCTGTGCATATTCATTTCTAGCTCTGCTACTGCTCTCCTTATTCTCCTAGGTCCTTTGCCTTCTATACTTCTTCCATTTTCTAGTACACTTGGTTTTGGCCTTTCTACACTTTTGGGTGAACCAAGGGCTCGTCCTGGCCTTCTCGTTATTTCTGTTAACCTTGGGTACAAGCCTCTCCTCAGCTTCCATGCATATTGTTGTCACATATTCCATCATCTCCTTTACTAACTTCCCTGCCAGTTCTCTGTCCCACTGAACTCCGTGCAGGAAATTCTGCATGCCTGTATGGTCCCCTCTTGAGTAGTTTGGCTTCATTCGTCCTGCCCTTCCTGCTTCCCTCTCCACTTGTAGCTCTACTATGTATTCGATGCTCAGAATCACGTACTCACTGGCCCCGAGGGATCTCTCATATGTGATGTCCTCAATATTTGCACTACTCAAGGTGAATACTAGGTCCACTCTTTCTGTGTGTGTGTGTGTGTGTAGTATTTTCTTTCTTTTACAGGTGCCGACGGTACTATTACAGGTGAAGACAGCGTAGTATTACGGGTGTATACAGCACAGTGTTACAACTGTATACAGCGCAGTATTACAGACGTAGACAACGCAATATGACAAGTGTATACAGTGCAGTATTACAGGAGCAGACAGCGTAGTATTACAGGTGTAGACAGCATAACATCACAGGTGTAGACAGTATAGTATTACAGGCGTAGACAGCGCAATATTACAGGTGTGGACAACGCAGTATTGCAGGTGTAGAAGCGCACAATTGCAGGTGTAGAATTACAGTTGTAAACAACGCAATATTACATGTGTAGACAACGTAATAAGATTAATAATATCGCAGCTTTACAAAGCTTAGTAATATAGAGAGCTTAAAGTGTAGAAAACTAAACATGGCAGCTTTGAAGAGCTTAGAATAACACGTGTAGAGAGATTGCTAACACAGCTTTAGAGGTTAACAGTGCAGGTTTAGAGAGCTTAAAGTTATATTGCGTAGTATTACAGGTGTAAAGAACTCAACCGTCTACATACGTAGACGGTTTAATATTACACGTGTAGGCAGGTAAACGTTATTAATGTAGATGTAGCATTACACTGTAATGTAACATTACTGTTACAGGTGTGGAGGTTTACCATCACAGTTATAGAGAGCGTAGCATCACAGGTGTAGAGAGCGTAGCATCACAGGTGTAGAGAGCGTAGCATCACAGGTGTAGAGAGCGTAGCATCACAGGTGTAGAGAGCGTAGCATCACAGGTGTAGAGAGCGTAGCATCACAGGTGTAGAGAGCGTAGCATCACAGGTGTAGAGAGCGTAGCATCACAGGTGTAGAGAGCGTAGCATCACAGGTGTAGAGAGCGTAGCATCACAGGTGTAGAGAGCGTAGCATCACAGGTGTAGAGAGCGTAGCATCACAGGTGTAGAGAGCATAGCATCACAAGTGTTTTTCTCACAGGTACGGGTTGTCTCTGGGCGCTGTTGCCTCTTATAACACCTCAACTGGCTGCTTCGCCACCTCCGGCAGCCCGTCCTTCAGCACCAAGGACCAAGACTACGACTCTGCTACTGGTACGTCATGTACTGTACGTGATCAGTGTAAATACTGCATCTCATTACAATTTCTTTTCTCTAGGCGCAAAACCACTAACAAAAGTACATGTAAGTGGTCATGCTGGTCGGGAAACTACATATTATTATTGATATTAGTGGCTAATGTATTAGTGGTGATGCTTGTGCTTAAACCACACATTATCAGTGATACTGATGGCTAAAATACTCATTACGGATGGTGTGGCTACACTATACATTATCAGTGATACTGGCGGCTAAAGTACTCATTAGAGGTTAGTCTAATGGCTTAACTACACATTATCGGTAGCTAAAATACTCATTAGGGGTGATACTGATGGCTAAACTATGCGTTAGCAGTGGTACTGGTGGCTAAACTTCACGTTAGCAGTGATAATGTTGGCTAAAATATTCATTTGCAGCGACACTGGTAGCTAAACACCTCTGACCTCCATGCTCACCCTCCCTCTTCTCGCTCTCTCACGCTGTATATATGAAATATTCACGGTAAACAAGTTGAGAGTGTCACAAGTATAACCTTTACCTATGACACTGCACATCATATATTGTAGCAGCCATAGAAGCATCATATAAACCTACACATATTTTAGGACAGACGGAAAGGTTATAGGGAGAGTCTAATAACCTATAAGGGTTTTAAGGTCTGTTAGTTGCCATTTCAGAGACTGTATTGAAGAATATCCGACGTATTACCTTTATTTGTTGCATAACTTTTCTTAAGTGTATTTATAAGGAACTTTTTTTTTTATATTTTATTTAAAAACAACATACACATGATACAAGCCGACAATTAGCAAATCCAAAACCGTGACAGACAATGTCAGTACACACACAATAAACAAAAAAAACATTTTAACATATTGATATAACGAAATTCTACCGTAAGAAACCCAACCCGTTTACGGAAAAAAAAAACATACCGACTACAAAATAGAACGTCGGAGTCATAAAACATGTAGGAATAAGTCCTATAATCATGTATATATGTATATACATACACATGCACATATACACATACATGTATGTGCACATATGTTCTTACAGCACAGACTGGATTATACTAGAACAAACAAACAAACAAAAAAAAAGACATCACTAAAAAAAAAAACTAGACAAACTAAATACATAACATCCAAAACAGAAGTGGCAGACAATGTCAGGTACACACAAAAAACATTGTAACACATTGATATAACAAATTCTACTAAAATAACCCAACCAACCGACTTCCAAACAAACAGTCGGAGTCTTTATAAAACATTAGGAATGAGCCCCTACAAACATTATATATAGGTTTACATATACGCATGCATATACACACATACGTTTTATGTGCATTTTGTTGGGTACAGAACAAACTGGATCATACATAGAAATAAAGCTCTAAATGACTTTTCACCAAAATAAACTAAAAAATATTACATCCAATGATAGAACTATACCTAAGACATTGGTTCCCACAAAACACACCTACACACACACAAAATTAATGTTACTGTTTAAAACACTAAATATATAATATGACCTTCCAGTCAAATGAAGGGTATATAAAAACCCCCATCAAATACTTTTATATTTTCGTACATAGGTCATTTGTACCCTTTCCCAATACGATAAAAAGAGACGTATGACAAGGATAAATCTAACATCAGATTCGAATGTATAAAACATATCCTCACAATATAAATATAAATAAAAAAACCCCCTATATAAAATGGTTCTATAACAAAAAGAGAAAAACAGAAAATCACATACTACTTTTACTCTGTGATTTTACAAAATTCATAAAGGTCTACATACCCCGGAGCCCCCGACGGCTCCCTGCAAAAAAACGTTACCCACATCTACCACCTTGCAAACCAATCAACCTTCCTCATCAAGCTTCCAATCACCCAAGAGGACACACCACTGAAGAGACCAACCCCTTGCCTCTCACCCCGTCACCAAACGGAGTAAAACGTTCAACAGTAAGTTCACGATATCCCTCCGGAAAACTAATTCCCCCACCTTCCCCCATATAATTGTTTTTTTCCTACATGCGTCCATAAAACAACGCCGCCAACGCTTTTATCCTAATGTTTCCCTCCACCTCCCTCATCCCCCAAGAAACATGCAAGTAATCAACTTTTACGTATCTGATAGCCCTCCCACCTCTTTGGGTACCCTCCCATAACTAACATTAAAGCCCTGAGGGTTGATATCTGTCCCCCCCCCAATAAAAAGAAAACCCTCTTCAACCACAATCTTACCACCTCCAAAGCAGAACAAAAAATAACTACATGAAAAGCCGTTTCAACTTCCCCACAAAAACCCGCATGATGCCTCTCTCACAAAACCCATTGTCTTAGCACCTCTTTCGATGCTAACGTCCCCATAAGAAAATCTATAAACTAATTCCCTCGCTCTTCCCGGTATTCTTAATTTACTAATTCCACCCTATCACTCTCCAATCAAAAAGTGGGATACCCCTGCCATCCCTTGCATTGATTCCTGACGACGAACCCACACCCACTAACCGTTTTACCTTGATTTTTTTAACATTGCGTACCTTTAACATAAAACCGCAACATATCTTCACACTCCACTAAGTCCCTGCCACCCCACCATTTGCGGATATCCCCCATCCCCCCCCACCCGAAGACCCCTTTCCCCCGCTGCCCGAATATACCTCTGCTCACATATAGCGCCTTCACCCTAGCCCCTAATGCCATCAACCCCCAAATCCTCCCTGTCTTAAATTACCGCAGTCATTACCACATCTTTACCCAACCACGCCCTCCCAAAACCCCACACATACCTTAAGGCTCTTCTTGTAATTCCATAAAAATCCTGACTTCTTAAGGGGTAAATTTCCGCCACTCCCCAAAACCTTACTATAAATCAGCGTATTTACCACCACAACCCTTTGATGCAAGGTTACATCCCCGCCCTTAACTCCTGAGCCTACTCAAAGCTCTGTCCATTACCATTTCTGAATTAACCCTCCTGCTCTCCTGTACATCTGCTAAATACAAAATCCCACAAATCTTTACCTATCTACAGTTATCCACCCAAAAACTCCTCCCCCAAGGTCCCTCCTACCCAATTGCCTACCTCCAACAACCGTGATTTCTGCTTTTTAACTCTCATCCCAGTAGCATTCCCAAAAATCTCAATTAAAACCCTTCCCATTTTAAACTTAAATCTTCTATCTCTTTAAGTAAAACAGTTGTATCATCTACAAAACCAACAATATTCCCAAAACCCCACCTCTCTCCCCCCATCCTTCCCATCCCACCCATCAACCAGAACATAGAAAGGATTCTGCATACATGCAAAGAGTATTTGGGAAGTGGACACCCCTGCCTTTAAAACCCCTCCCATGCTTAAATGAACTACCCAAACCAAACCCTTTACCTGTACTCTCATCGATGCATTCCATACAATGTCCTCACCCATCCAACCACCCTCCCTCCAAAACCCATTCTCACCATACTCTCAAACAAAAAGTCCCTATCCACATAATCATAAGCTTTCTCCCAATCCAGACCTAGAATACCTCCCTACTACTACCCTCAAGGAAATCCGAATACGTCCATGACCTACCCGCATACTCCTCCCCCGGGGTACCAAATTGTCCCCCCATGTATCACCGACCCCCTGACCTTCTTCAGTCTATTACCCAAAATTTTCGCAAAAACCTTGTAATCTGCACACATCAAAGAATTTGCTTGGTAAGCACTCAACTCTCTAACCCCCCCTCTTCTTTGGCACCAAAACTATGACACCCGTACTTTGCGATGTGCCCAACTTCCCACTAGTTAACATATGATCCAATGCCTAAAAAAAGCACTGCCTAATACACCCCCAATGTGCTCTATAAAATCATTTGGTATACCGTCTATCCCTGGTGTTTTTCCGTACTCATCCCGAAAACTGCCTCTTCCACCTCAACCTCACTTATACCAACCTCCAACCCCACTCTATCCTGCTCACTTAAAAATGCTATGGAACCCCCCTCAAAAATACCCTCCCAGGAACCCCCCTCCCTCCAACTCCATTTCTCCCTAAACCAACTATCAGCATAGAGACCCCATACTTTCAGTATTGGATAGGACTCGACCCCCTGGATACCCTCCCACCCCAGGGTTGTCTCCAATTGTAGAATGGTGGTTACACTCTGTCGGGCCCTAAATTTACGTAAAACAAACCCCAAAGGCTTATCACCCCACAATACATCCTCTAACCCCCCCCTAACCCTAATTGCATCAAACCTATCATTGTGTATTTTAGCGATCCTGCTCCGCAGACTGTCCATGTCATCCCTCCTACCACCTCCCCCAAAATAACAATCTTGCAACTTTTCCCTCCAGATAATTTTGCAACCCAAAACGCCACCTCGCCTCTTCCCGCCCCTAACCTTAAAAAAAATTTGCTAATCCCGGTTTTGCCTGCATTTCCCACCAATCTAACAGATCTATCTCCCTGTCCCCAGCCTCCCAAAAAGGCAACCACCAATCACTGAAAAAAAGGCCCCCCTCCTCCTCCTTGAGAAGCCTTACATTTAAATTTCCAGTACCCAGAATAAATACGCACCACTCCATCCCACATCAAATCTGCTAAATTTCCGCTCTGTGATCCGAAAACCCCACATCGAAGGTTTGCACCCTCACAACATCTATACCCTGCTTAATATAAATTCGTCCAATCGCGCTTCATATCCCCTACGGACGAACGTGTGCTCCACTAGGGTTTTCCCCCCCTCCCCACCACATCAACAACCCCAAAAATCTCGCAATACATCCCTCAGCACACTCAGCACACAACCCGCCCCTCTCGGTTCGACATCACCACTCCTAATCACACAATTCCAATCACCACCTATTAACTGTTATAGCAGGCAAAACCCCTCAAGTGATACAGCAATACCTCTCTGACAAAAAACTACTTTTACCCTGGTATTGCTAGTTGCTGGCATTAAACTCCTACAAAACTAGCTCGACTCTCACCCCAGACACCATCCACCCTCACGACCCTCCCACCCCCCCCCCTCTTCCCAGCCGATGACACGCAAGGGGCTGGTCTCCTTTATCGCCACTGCTACCCACCTTTCAATTGCAAAAAACCCCTGGTAACATACATCCGATATCCTTTAACCGCAACACACAACCAGCCCTATGTTATGCTCTTGCAAAAAAGCAAATATTTTACATCAAACCGCCGTAAAAACCACTCCAACCAAACTTTCTTAACCTCAGTCTTAAGTCCATTGACATTAAGCGTGACACTTCTGAAAATTATAGAAGTGGCGGCTTTCCCCCCCCATGCCGCTGGGATTTTCTCGCTGCACTTTTCACATTACGTATTCCCTTACCACTCGAGTTATCCTGTGCAGTCACCTCCCCCCTCCCTCTCCCACTGTGCAACTCAGGCGCACCTCTAGCACTATGTGGCTCGGCTCCACAACCGCAGCCCATGACTTCTTTCCCCGGCCTCTTTCCCCGGGTAATAACCTCGTCTATCTCTGATGCCGCAGTTCTTTTTCTAGAATTTTTCCCCTTACACACATCCTCACCCTCAGACGAATCCTCCTGGTGTACCTCCACGGCCACCACACACTCCAGCCTTTTCCCTTTCTCAAGTCTTTCTCCACAAATTTTTTGTCCCTCCAGCTCTCCAACTTTACATAAACTGAGGAAAAACCTTCTAAACCGGGGTCATCCCATCCAAAAAATCCTTGATGACATCTGCCAGTAAACCCTCCTGAGTCGAAGCTTCCTGGACTAAAGACTCCTCAGATAACACCTTCGACTCCCCCGACTCCCCCGGGATAGTGACACACGTCTCCTCCTCCGCCACCTCCCGGTCGACCTCCTTGCTCCAGAGATCAGGCCTCCGGCCTCCAGAGGGAACAGAGCCAGGGACCAAATCACACGACTGTGAATCACAATCGGCGTTTCCAGAATTCGAGGAGCCTGCCTCCTAGGACACTGGCTGCCATGTGCTCATAAGAGCTGCACAGACGACATGTTTTTCTCTGACCCGCCAAAAGTTACATAAACCTGTGTTCTACAACCGGTCATCGTTACATAGATGGTTAATAGGCCTTGTTAAAGACATTTTAAGGGTGTAAGAAAACCCTTTCCGGCATTCCTTCATATGGACCATCCCTCCATACCCCCATGGTTGCAGAATGCACTGTCCCATAACTGCGAAAAAACTCCTGTAGTCCATACGCCGTAGCCTCGAAGGGTACATTCCGTACCTCACCCATGTGTAGTACTTAGAAACATCATTAACACAACATCCATCGCTGAATTCACACTCATGCGTTGTTCCTGGTACTGCTCGACAATTCTTGTGTAGAAGCCGGCTCTCAGAAATTTCACGAAGATTTTTGACAAACCATTAAGAGCGACTCCATATAATTCCCTCGTTGGGGATACCATATGTGTCCCTGATGATGTTAGGGAGAAGTACGTTCATCGTATCTCCACTTAACGTACCACGAACCAGCTCTATGCAGATAGTATTTACTCTCCGTACTGTATGTTCAGCCATTTTGATATCCCAAAATGAGCAGCGCACGTCCACACTACTCAATGGTTGTTGATGTACTGTGGTAGCTCGCCTGAAAAACAGCAGAGGGGTGCTGGGCACAACCGCACTCCACCGTAGTCAGGCAGCGAATGAATGATAATTATAGACCTAACGATATATTATTATGCCACATTTTGATATTTTAGTTTCATAAGGAAGAAAAAGGCACAATACCGTGGCTGGAACGATACACAATAACCTCACATAGGAGAGTGGAGGTTATGACGATGTTTCGGTCCGAATTAGATCATTTACCAAGTGACATACTGTGACTTTGTAAAAAGTTAAGTCGGACCGAAACATTGTCGTAAGCTCCTCTCTCCTATGTGCGGGTTATTTGTGTACAGTTTCCTAGTTCAATAATATCTAATTATAAACATTTATCAATGCCAGTGTATCTGCAAGAGCAATACACGAAAAGTAAAGTTTGAATAATCGATTATGCTAAAAACTTCTTTCCCTCACGATCTGTAACCACAGGTAACTGCGCCGTGACGAAGGGTGGTGGCTGGTGGTACTACAATTGTCTCTACAACAACCCCACCTCGCCCTATAACAGCGGTCTAAGTTTTACCTGTTATCCCAAGAGAGTGATTAAACTGTCCAAACTTCAGGTCAAGATTCGACCCACAGCCTTTAATTCTTCCCTCTGCCGGAGCTGCTATCAGTAACGGCCGACAGTGGCACTCTAGGCTGGCTTATGGCACCTCTCAGCCTGATGAGGGATCGCATTATGTACAATGGATATAATATGAATAATAATCTGCTTAAATTATAATATATATATATATATATATATATATATATATATATATATATATATATATATATATATATATATATATTATATATATATATATATAATATATAATATATATATATATAATATATATATATATATATAATATATATATATAATATATATATATATATATATATATATATATATATATATATATATATATATATATATATATATATATATATATATATATATATATATATATTATTTTATTTTATTAACACATCGGCCGATTCCCACCAAGGCAGGGTGGCCCAAAAAAAGAAAAACTTTCATTATCATTCACTCCATCACTGTCTTGCCAAAGAGGTGGTTTACGCTACAGTTTTTAAACTGCAACATTATCACCCCTCCTTCAGAGTGCAGACACTGTACTTCCCAACTCCAGGACTCAAGTCCGGTCTGCCGGTTTCCCTGAATCCCTTCAGAAATGTTACTTTGCCCACACTCCAACAGCACGTCAAGTATTAAAACCATTTGTCTCCATTCACTCCTACCAAATACGCTCACGTATGCTTGCTGGAAGTCCAAGCCCCTCGCACACAAAACCTTCTTTACCCCTTCTTTCCAACCTTTCCTAGACCAACCCTTACCCCGCATTCCCTCCACTACAGTGTTATACACTCTCGAAGTCATTCTGTTTTGTTTCATTCTCTCTACATGTCAGAACCACCTCAACAACCCTTCCTCAGCCCTCTGAACAACAGTTTTGGCAATCCCGCACCTCCTCCTAACTTCCAAACTACGAATTCTCTGCATTATATTAGCATTACATATTGCCCTCAGACATTACATCTCCACTGCCTCCAGCCTTCTCCTCGCTGCAACATTCATCACTCATGTTTCACACCCATATAAGAGCGTTGGTAAACCTATGTTCTCATAAATTCCCCTCTTTGCTTCCAAGGACAAAGTTCATTGTCTCCACAGATTCCTAAGTGCACTGCTCATCCTTTTCTCCTCATCAGATTTATGATTCACCTTATCTTTCATAGCCTCATCCAGGTTGGTACTACCATTCTGTCCTGAGAGTGTGAAAGGGAAGAAAGATAAATTTGTCTCGTGAACACGTGAGATGATCAGAAAAAATCGTAAATTGTATTAACGTAAAGTTTATACTTAGCTTTGCTTTTTGTGTGTTTGTTTATAGTTCTAACTCAAGCATAAGAAAAAATATGTAATCAACTAGGAATATTCATATCTTCATCCAACACTAAAATATCAACAAACTACATGCTCCACCCACTTATTTTCAAGGTAAACTCAACAACTAATTTAAATCTTACAAATATCTTGGCGTTTACGTATCCTTCAGTAAATCTACCATATCACAACTAACGAAATACAAAGATGGAATAAACGCTATCAGATCTGTTGCTGAGTGAAGGTGCCTGAGCCAGAGCTTGCAGCTCACAAGCCTGTCATTCCCATTAGGCCCCTTGGGGCGGGGATGGCAGACCAGAGAGGCCTAGCTTGTGGCTAAGCCTGGGGACAGTTGGTCCCAAAGATGAGGAGGTACTTGTGCCTCCTCCCATGGGAGACTTAGGTCTCAGACACTCCCTAAAGAGGGAGCCAAGGCTGGGCCACCACTTGGAAAAGGCCCGGGCCGGGAGAATACCGGTGAATCTTTAATAATAATAATAATAATAAGATCTGTTTCTAGCTACAACCCCCAACCATAATGTTAATGTAAGAATATTGAACATAGCGTTTATCAGATTCTTAATAGAGGAGGCTGTACCATTATTAATGTTAACTAAGGAAAATTTTCTCGGGGGGGGGGGGGATTAAGAAGGCATTTAGGTTTAATTAAGGGAATTGGAGCTCAGACGCAATTCCCAAGTACCTTGAAGGAAAAAGTTAAATATAACCTTAGCATATTTGCATGAAGCATTAGAAATAATATTTAGAAGAGAGGTAAACAACGTATATGAATGACACAGGTGCACGGAACTGTATGTATATAACTCGCTATGACAACATGAACGTAGATAAGCATATTTACGGAGCAACTTGCAATGTCAACAGACTTCCTGATGAGGCTCAATGTTGTTGAGAAAGATTTGTGGAAGTTTGGTAGACCAAAATATGTGGTCAGCCATATGGTCACTTCATAGGACATTATCCTTCTGAACACTGAGGGTCCAGGATCGATCGATCCCCGGCACGAGTAAAATGTTGGGCATGTTTCCTTACACCTGGTGTCCCTGTTCACCCAGCAGTCAGTAGGTACCTGTGGCAGCCGACTACTGCGGGTCACATCCTCGGATACAAGATTATTTTAGGCTACCCGAAATATCTACATAACCAGGGTCTTTTTCTATATATTATTTATATTATTATATATTACTGTATATGGTTACCGTCCCCAGCAATCTGCGCTAAACCAAACTGGTGGCCTCAAGAGCAATGAAACTTATGGGGGAGGTCCTAGGTGATACCCCGTCTCAACAATGGTACCAAACAGCGACTCATGACAGAAGCTGGTCCAGAGCGCAGTGTACCGCCATCCATCGGCTTCGTTTGGGCTTTCTCACAGCCAAGATGATGGTAGACAAGGCAGAGGAGATGTGCCAGCACTGCTTGCACGTTGTCCAGCGCCCCCTAACACACTATCTCCTGGAGTACCAAGTTGGTGAGGGGCTCTTGATTTAGGGAATTGGATCTGTGCTCCAGTTCCCCGAATTAAGCCTGAATGCCTTCCACATCCCCCCCCCCCAGGCGCTGTATAATCCTCCGGGTTTAGCGCTTCCCCCTTGATTATAATAATAATAATCCGCAGGCAACTAGCACTGACGTAATCTCTCGAAGACCCAGAGAAGACTGCGGCTACCCTAGTGTACCATGGAGTCAACGCCCCAGACAAGCTGTGATAACGACATATCCTCCTCGCTAGTGTCCACAGTTAGGAGTGCATGTGTATGCATATGCATATCTCTGAATATACGTATATAATGCGTCCAGCATGCACATGTATATGATCCAATGTTCATATTACAGACTGCTTTGTCGTTTATGAGATGCACCAGATGAACTGCCCAGAACTGCTTGAGCAGCATACGTTGCAACATTGCAGAACTCATTTTCCTTCGGGAGCAAGAGACGGGTCATCGCAAGATTAAGACCCGTGCCAGGACCCTGGTCTTGGCGAACATTATATATACATACAATATGCTGCGCTTTTGTCAAAATTGATGGACTGAACTCAACGACTCAAGGCTGAGGGACTGATTACCTCAAACTCCTCTTATTCCACCTTTTTCTGCACTGGAGTGAAAAGCCACTGTGTGGCGAAACGTTTCCAGAATGAAGATTCCCAAATATTGCAAAAGTGTCCAGGAAAACACTGATTTGGTCTCGGCAACACTACACCACTTGTAAACCTCTACCCCCACCGGCAACCTCAGTGTTACTACGTATTACATGTGTAGAATATATCCACGTAACCTGTGTTCCACCATAAATGTATTATTCATTCAGCATTTTCGAATGAAAGTCAACGTAAATTGCTTAAAACCGACAAATATGAGATTTTTCTAGAGTGGCTCTAATAATCTGGCCATCTTCTGTACATAATCTAGCTTAGTAATAATGGTAGAATTACCGACAAAATGTTAGGTAAATGGACACAAATACAACTATTGTGACATTTCATCTTACTGTAGAGCTTTCTCAAACCTTTACGACTTGACAATAAAATGTCACATTAGTTGCATCTGTGTCCATTTAGCTTATAAGTAATGCAGTTATTTTCTTTTCCTTACATCTTTTAGCAGTGAAACGCATCTTCCATTTCTCCGACCACAACATCAACCTGATGCACTTTTTTAGTGTTAACGGCAAACTTGTGTCGCTATTCTATCATCTATATCCTTGATACACACTGTCTATCGGTCATAATATATGAAACAATTGCAATATTTGGGTATCTTTATTCTGGAAACGTTTCGCCACGCAGTGGCTTCTTCAGTCAATGCAGCGAAAGGTGGAAGATGGAGGGACTGATTACCTCAATCAGTCCCTCAGCCTGAAGTCGATGTGTTTACTCTATTAATCTTGACGAAAGTGCAGCATGTTCGCGGAGATGGAGCTTATATACTGATGACAGATGAGGTGGAGCAGTGGTAGGCGGAGTCACCAGCGGATAAAATCACTGGTGAAAGTAGGTCATGTCTATAGGATAGACAAGTTTTGAAGAAACCATTGCTTGACGAAACGTTTCCGGAATAAAGATAGCAAAATGTTGCACAAGTGTCTCATATATCAACTTGTCGGTTTTATAAACTATTTATTCACAGCTATCGGTCATCCATGACTCGACTAAAGAGATAATTTTTATTATATCAGGTGTAGCTATTTTCTTTATTAGTCCTTAGACCTTACTGAAGTTCGTATACACAATATCATGTTCTTTATCTTGGTCTACTGCCTCGAATATGTTATTGAAAAAGGCTAGTAAATCCGTGAAGCAGGAACTCCTCTTTGTAAAACCGTGTTGAGATTAATTCATCAAATTATACCTTTCAAGGTGGCACAGAATTACATCCTCAGTTACTGATTCCATCAACTTTCCCGCGACTGAGGTTATGCTCATCGTTCTTTAATTTAAAGCTAAGGACAAACGTGCCATTTTTTCCTTACATGGTATGATACATGTTTTTAGTGATCTGTTGAAGAGACTACCTAACACTTTGCTCAATTCCTCTTCACATGTCTTTGGAACCGTTGAGAGCAGCTCATCAGGGCCCGGTGACTTGTTTAGTTTCAGTCTTTCAAGTTGTCTGAGGACCAAGTCACTAATGACTCTAATTTTATTAAATTCATTCTCGGCCTAACCTGTTTAATTACAGTCGACATTTATTTTCTGTCCAATGATATTACACAGATTTTAGGGTAAGTTTGTGATGCTGATTCCGAATAGTTTTTGATAAGCTTGGTATCCCACTGAATAAAGATGTGGA